ACGTGTTTGGGTTTACAACCAATGAGAAGGCAGAATGACTGGAAAATCGACTTACACACAGGAAGTAGCTCTCTCTTTCGAGAAGCTGGGACACAGAGGAGGAAGGGTGAGGTTTTAGCTCTGAGCTCTGACCTCTTGGCTTTCTCTTTTACATTGTTTCTGTGTTTCTTATTTAATAAGACGGTTGGTTACATCAACAGTCTTCCATATTAGACCTAGAAATAAGAGGATATTGCTGTCCTGTTTTGTTTTTTCAGTTGTTGCCCATGCCTTTCCATATCCCCAGAGTACCTCATATTTGTGAGTGTTCCATAACTGAATTGGGAGCCCAGAATAGCAAGCTTTTCCCCAAGGAGTCCTGTGGTAGCCTTCTCTAAACTCTTCTACTAGATTGAAATTTGTCATCAAATGGGTGTTTGAAATCTTAGAGGAAATTTTACAGTAGTTTTCAGATATATGAAGAACTTTGCAGGGAAGGTTACCTATTATCTCCTTCTAAAATGTTAACAAGAATAATTAGACAAAACTGCCCATTTCAACTACCTATAAGCATGAACTTGGGAGTGACTGAGTCTAAAGACTTATACAAAATAGTCAACAAATCTAGAACTAATTTTCTCCCTATTCTTTATACTAGAGTCCACAAGAAAGGGCATACCTAAAATCTAAGAAGTCAAGTGATGGGAAATATAAAAATGTAGGCAGTTTAAACAAGGAAACAAGTATTCATCAAGAAAAAAAATCACATATCTGCAATTTCTAAATCATAGACAGAATAAATTTATTTGGAATAAAGTTTGTTGTGTGTGTGGCTTTTTCCCCTTTCTTTCTTTCTTTCTTTCTTTCTTTCTTTCTTTCTTTCTTTCTTTCTTTCTTTCTTTCTTTCTTTCTTCCTTCCTTCCTTCCTTCCTTCCTTCCTTCCTTCCTTCCTTCCTTCTTTTCTTTCTCTCTTTCTTTTTTTTTTTTAGCTCATGGAGAATCTCGTACTTAATTCAACAATGTGTGTATTCTTGCATAGGTTATGTTTTGGGTGACAGAGCAAAGATCTGAGATGGGCAGAGGGGATGACAGAGAAACCTTGACTGTTCTCTGGGAAGAGCTTCCCTGTGCTGCCTTGCCACACTGGTCCTTAGCCTCCCTTAGAGACTAGTTAGGTCTATTTGGTTTGCCTGCTAAAGAATTTGATCTTTTTTCTTGAATTCTTTTCCACCTACTCTAAAACATTAGCATTTACTGTATAGAAAACTTAGTAGAAAAATACCATCTTGGGGGTGGGGAGGTAGCCCAGTAGGTACGATGCTTGTTGTACAAGTATGACTAAATTTAGATCCCTAGCACTTACTTGAAAAGTTAGGCATGGCAACATGCACTTGTAATCAGAGGGCTGGGGGTGGAGGGCGGGGTGGAAACGGGACACCAGGGGCTTTGCTGGCCAGCTAGTGTAATAGTATAACCAAATCAGCTCAGCAAGCTCGAACTCCAGTGAGAGACTTTCTCACAAAAGTAAGGTGACAGTGGAAAGGAAGACAACCCACATCAATGCCTGGTCTGCATGCACGCGCGCACACACACACACACACACACACACACACACACACACACACACACACGGCAGGGTAGGGTGCTAAAGAGGAGATGGATAAGTGGCATCTTGTTAGACAAAACAGTGATATTTTACCCCCTCAAATTCTGAGGTTGTGTGAATATTTTATTAATGTAGCTTTTATTTGTTTAGGAGGAACCTAGGGATAGAATCCATGACCTTGTCTGTGCTAACCATGTACCCTCCTACCACTGGACTACACCCAGACTCCTCCTCCAGGATTAAATTGAATGGTCTCTTAGTGTTAACATGTGTTGATAAGTCAAGTCATTATTTGAAATCCAACCAGAATCTGCAGATATCCACAGAAATAAGAGAGTTTTTCCAGTTCTTTCCATCATCTGTAAATCTTTTGTGCGTTGTTTCTCAGCAGGAACTAACTTTGTATTACCAGCCACTCTTTCTAATTTTTTAACAAGTTACATTTATTCAAGATTTAAGTTGTACATTGTTCATGTTTGAGTAAGTGATGCTACTATGTAACATTATTTTTATAGTGTGAGTTTTCTTTTTAGATACATAGGTTACTATTATTGATCAAAGTTTATCACTTTCTAGATCTTAGTGAATCCTCTATTCCAAGATGGTTATTAGAACTTGGTGGTATTTATCTCCACGGTTATGACAAAGAAGGTAACAAATTATGTAAGTATATTCAGCTCATACCCTACCTTTTTAAGATTTTGAGATGCATATCTGTGTCTCTATTAATAATCACAGAACTTTTCCATATGTATACGCAATAAATTTCCTGTAACTAGAGGTGTGTGGCTCTCTTTACCCCTGTCAAATACTATCAAAGCATAGTTTGCCTTATTATAAACTAAGCAGTAAACACAAATGCTGTGTCTTAGTTACTTGTCTATTTCCGTGATAAGACATCATGACCAAGGCAACTTAATAAAAGAGTTTATTTGGGGCTTGTGGTTTCAGAGGTTTAGAGTCCATGACCATCATGGTGGAGAGTATGGTAGCTGGCAAGTAGGCATGGCACCAGAGCAGTCATAACACAGTCAAAGTATTTCAGTTAGTCATTATCTTCTTTCTCTCCTGGTCTCCTCTTAGCGTTTTCTGAAATGTGTGTAGTAATGGGAAGAAGAGTAACAGTCATCTGTTGTTCAGATGACTTTCTTATGCTCCTTTCCACTCGCCCAAATCTAGCTTGAGTTGGTACTAAGGGTAGGAGAGCCTATGTGCATCTTCCTTGCCTTTTCTTTAGCTTGTGAACTGCACTGTATTTTGACTTTCCTCTTATCCCTGCCGCTTCTTTTTCAGTCTCCTTTTCTCATGCCTCTTCTGCAGTTTGTTCCTGAAACGTGTTTCCCAAAGCCCATTCTTTTCTTGGTTTCTTATACTTTGCATCTGCTACTGTCCCATGGGGTCATCTCAGACACATCAGCTTTGGCAACCTCCCAATTCACAGTGCGGATCCCATGCAATTCCCAAGCTGCTTGTGCATACCCAGCTGCCCGCCAGCTGGTGTCTCTTGACTGTGAGCTGCCTTCAACACTCAACATGATCTACAGCTCACACTTGTATCCTGCCATCATGCTCCTTCTGGATTGTCAGCTCTGGCTCATTTCTTGGCTCTCCCTATAATTTTAACATCATTTTGGTTCCCGATTCATCTTTACCAGCCACTTCCTCAGTTCATCCTGTCTACCCTGTTCTCTTCCCAGGTTGTGACCCGATAGGTTTCCTCCCTGGCCTCTTCCACGCCAACCTCTGTGGCACTGCTCAAGCTGGGTTTTGAAAAAGCAAAACCAAAATGACGCTAGGACTTCAAAGTCATCTAGCCATCCCTCCCCTGCCTCTGTTCTGCTCCTCTTCTCACCATCCCATTTCAGTCTTAGCTGTCAGCACCCTAAGCTTTCCATGTCCCACTCCCCTGCATGGCTCTCCTCAGGCCTCCCCGCTGCCTGTCTGTGCGTCTCTTGTGGGTGGAACATATTTTCTAGTGTTTGATCAGACCAGTGGCTTTCCTCTTAAGCATAGTGCAGAGCACTTCTGGGTTATTACAAAATGCTGTTTGTTCACCTGCATTCTCTCTTCAGCTCACTTAAAAGTGACGTCTGTTTATTTCCTAAAGGAGCGAAAAGTAGTTTGCCTCTCTTCTACTCTTTCATTTAAAGGTCCCAAGTGCAACTATTTCTCATTTTAAAGAGGGGAGAGATGTTTTTATTCAAAACAAGATGAATTATAAATGAACATGCCAAGGGAAATTATATATATATATATATATATATATATATATATATATATATATATATATATAAAATGAAAATGCCACAAATAATAAACAATATGCTTATTTTTATCTGTTGTTCTGCTTAAAGTCTGGATCAGAGTGAAGTATCATATAAAAGACCAGAAAACCATAATGGACAAAAAGAAGCTCATAGCGTTCTGGTTGGAACGATACGCCAAGAGAGAAAATGGGAAGCCTATCACAGTGATGTTTGACATGTCAGAAACTGGACTCAATAGCATGGTAAGTATTCTTCATTAATCCTAAAGTGTGGTTTGTCCTGGTTTCCTCTTTATTTCCTGTCTTCTTGACATCTAAATATTGTTGTAAGATGAAGCTAGCAGAATCTAAAATGATTATTTTTCCCCTTGCATTGCGTGTGAAGTCAAATGTGGAATAGGGTTTGCAGAGAATTAAATTTGCTTCAGTATTTGGTAGGGATGCTGTATTTCCTAGCGATGTTCCATGTCTGATGATATAGATGGAGAGGTAAGACATGGAGGCTGGCAGGACATGAGTCACTGCGATGAACACTGAACATTTTCAGCATGCTAATATCCACCAGCACCAACCCCCATGCCTAGAACAGAGCAACACAGTCACTAAATATTGAATAAACACATGCATAACCTCTGTGACCTTATATTTTTGCCTTGTTTTGAGGGTGCAAGGTATTCATGTGAGTTTGCTTCATGCCATACTCTGCTATTGTTGGGCACTTGTTTATACTTCTTGAATTTTGTTATTTGTTTATTTTATCTAGTAAGCTTGCACAGCTAGTTTTCTTCAGATGGTTTTACCAGCCTGAAAATTTAGTTAAATCACTAGTTACAATAGCAATATATTCTTCTATGTACACCAGTAGCCACAGCTACGTATGAAGCTGAGGTATAAAGATACTTTAAACCTGAAAGTTTATAATGTTTGTTTAAAAAGTTCATAAAAGCCGGGCGGTGGTGGCGCACGCCTTTAATCCCAGCACTCGGGAGGCAGAGCCAGGCGGATCTCTGTGAGTTCGAGGCCAGCCTGGGCTACCAAGTGAGTTCCAGGAAAGGCGCAAAGCTACACAAGAGAAACCCTGTCTCGAAAAAACCAAAAAAAAAAAAAAAAAGTTCATAAAAGTTCAAGGATAGCTTGGACAGCATAGTGAGACTGTCTCAAAAAATAATGACAGATTAGGAAAAAGTCTTTGTGTCCAACATGGCAAAATGGTCAATTAAGTTATATTTCATTGATAGAGTATACATAACTATGTATGTTGGTATTTGTGAAGAACTTGTAATAATATTGGAGAATACCTGTTTAAGATAAAAAGAACTGTTTTACTACAGTATGTGTGTGGCTATGTAGCCCAAAATAATGGTATCTTAAATGTAAACAACAACAAAACCAGGTTAGAGTAAACAATTAAAGAGAGCTTTAGGGGAAGGAGACAGCAGAATGTTTTCTCACATTAAGAATCTAATACCCTGCGTATTTTTAAAAATGTAGTTTCCATTGAGTGGATTTTAAATTATAAAGCAAAACATTTTATATTCTAAATGAAACTAAAGTTACTTAGATAAGTCAACATTCAATAAAGATAGAGTATGATCCTGTTGTTCTTTAGGTACCAAAGCCACCTATTATTACTTCACCACCATGAACAATGTATGTTAATGTTTTCTGTACCAAATATAGTGAATTGATAGGAACTATATGATGGTTTTTCAAATGACTTACAGAATGTCTTTTCTAATTTGTAAAGAAAGACTATTGGTACTATTACATATTTTAGTCACTGATAATGTTATATAGCACCTGAATCTTTACTGGATAATTTCTTTTTTATATGACACTTTTAGGATTCACAAAGTCAGCATATAAAGATGCATTAAAAATGCTTTAGTAAGAGTTGAACTTCAATGTTGACTATAGCCTTTTACCTTCCTAGCTAAAAGAATGGAATCATTTAAAATTATACAAATAGCTAGATTTTAAATAATCGACATTTTAGGAGAGGTTTATCCATTCTCAGCAGTTGAACTAGAAAGAAAAATCTTGCATGCATCATCAGAGGGTGGACACTTTGAATGATAAAGACACCATTCTGAAAAATATCCTAAGAGATTGTACAACAAGCTGTTTCATGAAGCTATGGTATGTAGTACCCAGTGTAGGCATACATCACATCCCCCAAAATTAGCAGTATTCAAGCTTTTATGAACAAGGACATTCAATTGAATAAATGATTTTATGACTACTAGATGAAGACTAGTAAGAGTATCAGAGAGTGGTCATGGCTGTTAAATTATGTAACCAAATGTTTGTAGAGCTAGTTTTTTAAGCCCTTTCTCTGGCTCTTACTTACCCATAGATTTTTGAAACTGTGCCCAGTGGATATAATGATTATTTATAAAGGTATTATTATATGCTAGGATTTCTCCCATATTCAATAGTTATAGCTAGGGATACTTACATTCAGTTTACTGCAATTAAAGGTGCTGCAACTCATGCTGGGAATGACTTTATAGGTTGTCCTATCTGGAATCACCAGGTTTTTAGTAGCTGTACTGGATTACAGCTTGTCTGCTTAGCTTTTCAAACTCACAGTGTTTATAAGGTGGCTAAGCAGGATTAATAAAACAACCTGCTAGCATGGAATAATATGGGGAATGAAACATGAATAATGTCCCTAATGACCTAATTTTCTGTTGTTGTATATGAATCAAGAGAACTACCCTGACAGCTGCTTAATACAGTCTCCTAACAATTGGATTGAATGAACAGCACTTGATTATGAGCAAAAAAAACAAAAAACAAAAAAAACAAAAACAACATTAATCTGGGTCCTTTTAAATAAAAAGTAAACTGGCAGGTCTGATCAGTGGGATCATTGTGTAAAAAAATTAATACAGTATTTTTATTGAAGCTCTTTTAAGGTAAAAATTAGATTTAGAAAGTAAATACTAAACCATAACCTATATATGTATAGCTACAAATGAGTACCTATATATCATTTCAGTTAGTCAGGTTATAAATAATTCTTTAGTTGTTCAATAGAATTTTAGAGTCTCACTGTGGGAATCACTTTTATATACATTGCATACCCCATGGCTCTTGTAGCCTGAAGCATATAACTAGTTTGAAGTAATACAAGTAATTTTTAAAATACCAATAACTGTCTGACTTCTTTAACTCAATTTTTAGAGCCAATTCTTAGCTTAATGACCTAAACCTTAATCCTTGGGGCAATAGATACTTATATTAGCTTATCTCTTAAGAAAAATAGTAATCTCACTTGTATTTAATAATTTATCACCTTTAGAAATGTGTAATTGGAAGTTTTCTAATATGGACAGCCTTAAAGCTTTAATCTTTATTTTAGGACATGGAATTTGTACGCTTTATCATCAGCTGCTTTAAGGTGTATTACCCCAAATACCTCTGTAAGTAACTTACTCCTTTATAAAAACATAATATGTTGAAATTATAGATGATGTCCAAAAATTATAAAGCTTTATATTGCAGAGTCTCATACCTGGACTATTGTTTTCTGATGAAATACTTTAAATGTATTCATAGGTAGACATGTAAATCCTCATCATGGTAGATACATAGACAATTTTTTGCAGTAATTTTCCTTTAAAGTTACTGGTGCAAGTGAAGTTCTAAACACCAAGACATCCTGTAACATCTGACACACAGCTGTGTGCAATTATACATTTATTTGCAATGTGAGCCCATTTTTACTGATCTTTGTCTAAAATTATATTTATTATGTGGAACTTGCTGCATGTAAGAACAGATAAGCAGTACTGATAAGGCACATTGTACGATAAATACATATAGTATGTTACTAATTGCCGTTTTAAAATTGGCACTAAGAAAATACTGAATCACAATGCACTACATTTGACTCTGGTATTTAGAGAGTTTTTTATTACTTTGTTTTCTTATGGTGCTGGAGATTGAACCCAGAGCCTTGTACATGCCAGGCAAGTGTTCTACCACTAAACTAACATCCTCGGCCTTGTTTTGTTTGTTTTGAATGGTCACTCTCCCATTGATGACACAAATGATGGACTCCTCATAAGCCTTATATGCTCATTTTTCATATATTTCAGTTTTACAGAACTGGATTTAAATATATTTGACTGTTTATGTGCAGTCAAATATATTTAACTCCAGTTCTGTAAAACTGAAAGGGCAGGAAAAGCAAAGGTTTATCAAAATGGAAATCCACAAAACTGCCTGCGCATATTCCTGACAGATCCCACAGTTAGGATCTCTTGGGTAACCAAAAGCACAATGGATATCTAGGATCAGCACAACCTACAGCCCTATACTGCAATCCCTTTAGAGACTGTGACTGTTGGTAAAGAGAATGACAGTGTCCAGGTTGGGAAACTTGAACGATCTATTGTTCCTTGTGTATCTGGTACACCCTGACTCATTAAGTCTTGCTGAGCAGTGCCCATCAATGGATGCTATAGAATTACTACTTCATGATATTAACCTGCTTCTTTTATGGGCAAAACAAAACAAATGCTTGTTTGTTGAAGGATGTAAAGGACGTTGTGGTGAGCCATGTAGAAATAATACTAATGTAACTATTACTTTATAAAATACATTCAGCCTTCCAAAATACCTGTTCACTGAAATACTTAAAAGCATTTGTGATGAGCCACTGAGAAAAAATATAACTATAGTTATTTATCAAATATGTCCAGGATTACTTTGAAAGAACGATTCATGGATTCATATAAAAGTGAATGGTAATATTGTTCATTTCAGTTAAATACAGATGATGTCTGTGTTCTACAAAATCATGTGGTTTTGCAGACATTGGATTTTATGGGCTCTTTAACTGATTGTTTTTCAAAACATGCCATGAGCTATTCTACTTTAGTTAAACTCCCACTGAGTAACAGGAATACTGAGCGCGCCAGTCTACCTCTTACTGATACCATGTTTTTTGTGCGCTTTACTTTGTGCTAGTTTTGTGTAACATTCTACAGGGTTCTCTGCTCAGAGAAAAATGAAATTACATATTCGGTTCATCTGGAATAGAAGAATGAATTGGCTATCGCCATCTCCGTTGTGGTTTCTGATATTTTTCCCTCACAGGTGTTGATAGCGCTCCTTAATATCCTCGGTTCTGTATGTAAAATAACCGCTCTGTCTACTTTGGAAGTATTGGCTTCCTGGAGCTCATAACATTGAAGAAAAAAGTAGTTTCTGTTTCTTAGAATCAGAAGGAAGGGACGGCTCTGTGACTAGTTTAATAGTGTGACTCAAGAAAATTATAAGTGAAGCCATAAATTAGACATGTAAATATTTTTAAAGTGCAGTTGCTTTCTGCACTGGTCTGACATGTCACACTCATGTCCTCTTAACCATTTTCTTGTGTACCTTTGTTCAGGCAGCAAACTCAGCAAATGAACAAAGGAAAGCATTGCTTGCCAAAAGACAATGACCGTGCATTGTTGGGACCCCTCCCCGTTGTGAGACAATGGTCTGTCCCAGCACTACTCATACTTCCCTGAATTCAAACTTGGCCAATCAGCTCAATTTTTCCTCACATGTTAGTTTTTTTTTCTAGATCAGGTCAAACTGGTAGCGTATTATAGAGGTACTAAGTCAAATTGAGTGATTCTTTTTTTCCATCTTTCAGCAAAAATAGTGATCTTTGATATGCCTTGGATAATGAATGGTGAGTGTATTATTTGTGTTTTTCTAAAGTGTTTTGACTTTCATTTGTCTTACTTGGCCCATTCAACCATGTTTCTACAGCTGTTTAGGAAAATGTTTGTATTATACTTGTGTGCTCTTAAAAGGCTACAGCCAGGCTACTGAAAGGCTGGTTTTTAAACAAATAAGGCTGACATTCTCTCTCCTCAGACACTGAGAGTTTTCCCACTAGTCTTTTCTAATACGAGCCTCAAGATAATCTGCCATTTGGGCAAAGCAATTACAAGACGCCTCGTTCTGTTTCCCACACATAGGGTGTCTAACAAAACATGTGTTGCCTAGGTTTTCTCTTGGGGTTCAAGTGTGGAGGGACAAGGCGGGAGGAATCTGAAAGTCACTCTCAATCATTGTAGTCACATAGCCCTTTAACAATCATAATTTTGCTCTGAGTCTTTTGAAGTGGCCATTGAAAAAAATTACCTAGTGATTTTAAAAGGAACGCTGCTTCTTCACATTCTGTTTTCATTGGTGTTTACAGAAGTCCATTGTTGCATACGCAGCAAACAATAGGATCACTCTGTAAACTGGAATTCAGTTCTAGGAAAAGTTCCTGATTGGCAAACCTTTCATACTGGTAAAGAATAAACAAACACTTACTAAAATTTTAAATCAGAAAACAGAGGTCATTACTGACTTTATGGAATTAAAAAAACAATTATAGCAGCAAAATTAGGAAGCTAGATGAAAATGATAAATTATTAGGAAGACCTAGACTACTAAAACTGGCTCAAGAATAATCAGAAGTAGTAGCCAACAACCCCCCCCCCCAAAAAAAAAATCCCACAAAGAAGCATTCAGGTCCTGGTGGCTTTTCTGGCTAATTCTATGAAATACTTGAAGAATTCACCCGGATCCTTTGTAAACAGTTCTAAAACAGTTCTAAAAATAGGCCACAAAGGACTGATTGTAACTCATTTATGAGTAAATACAGGCCTGATACCAACATGAGATGTAAAGAAAACTCCAGACTGCACTCCTTACAACTGTAGATGCACCAGTCCTTTGAAGGTACTATGGCTAGGGGTATGGCTCAGTGACTGTGAGCCCTTGCCTAGCCTGTGAGAAGCCCTGAGTTCCACCTCTAGCACTACAGAAGGACAAAACTAACAAACTGTAGGCAAAAAAATAGAAAAAGCATTATAGGCTACAGAGATGCCTCAGTTGGGAAAGTACTTGAGAACTGAGTTGACTCCTCCAAGAACCTATGTAAAGCAGCCAGTTGTAGTAAGTAGCATGTGCCTATAACCTTAGCCCAAGGAGTGAGGGGTGAGGACACCAACAGGCAGAAGAACTCTGGAGCTGTCTGGCCAGCCAGTCTGATCTAATCAATGAGCTCAGGCTGGTGAGACCCTGACAAACCATGACAAAGCAGGATTTGTCTTAAGAATGCAAACTTGGTCCAAGTGGGAAAATCAGGGTAATATACCATATTAATAAAATGAAAAAGGGACAAAAATCTAATGCCATCTCATGATAAAACACTTTAAATAGTAGGACCAGAAAGTACTGTTTGAAAAAAAGTAGATTTTAAAGGGATCCTAGCAGTCCATACAAGGCTACCTTCCACAAATTCAAGAAGTTCCCCAAATGCCTTTCACGTTTGATCACTCACTAGGACTGCTAGAACTCACTGAAAGCAATGGTGCTCACTTTGTGATTTATTGCAAGGAAAGGCTTCAGAGAGATTCTTTCAGTGAGAAACAGATCTCTCTGTTGGCATCAGTGTGAGCAGCACACGCGTAGTATTGCCAACCAAGGAAATTCATTGAAGCCTTGTGTCTTGGTATTCAGAAATTGTCTTGGAGCTCCGTTATGTAGGCATGATTGATTTTGCCTGTGGTTAGTCCCCACTGATACTCCATAGACCACAGCTAGCTCCTACCTTAGATCACATGTTGGTTTTCCAAGTCCCTCCCAAAATCCTAGATCATGCTGTTCTCATTCATCTAAGGCCCCCAGGCTAAAAAAGACCTCTCTTTAGGTAACGGTAATTTTGAACTGCATAGAACAGAGCTTTTTGGCATTTATGATAACCTACAGCTAGAATCATTTGTGAATTATTTCAATAAAGCTGGCATGAAAAAAATCAGACTTAACACTTCATTTAATTCCAATAGCATGACTTCAATCCTGTCAAATCACAAGCTGTTTTAAAATGAAAAGGAAAGTTTAAGTAGTATTTGAACAAAAGCTTAAATCATAGTGAACCAGAATAAGAATAAAACATGATTTTCTAAACCACACTTTAATGTTTTTATTATTCTTATTTCCCCTTCTCTCTAATATCACTTTTGCATATTTGTTGCAGCAGTCTGCTTTTAGTTTTTTTTCCAAATGTGTTAAAAAAATGTCCCAATAGAAATATTTTTTTTTAAATTAAGCATAAAACAAACGACAGGACACAGGACAGAATTATAACTGTCAAATAGCTATGTTTGATAGTAGTTTATTCTTGTAGCGTCTTTCTCGTGGTTATATAAACTGTGAGGCCTGGGAAAAATGCAGAGTTTTGAGTCAGGAAGGAAGCTGGTTCTGGCTCGCACCCATAATGAGCAGGACCTCTTCCTCCTGTTTCTCCTTTTCCTTTGAGAAGGGTTTTCAGATTGAGGCTTTATCAGAAGAAACACAAAGTAAAAGATTCTTCACAACATCATGCAATTCCTTCCTGAATCACAGAGCAGTTTGCTTCATTGTCTAAAAGTCATAGTTGTTGAGGCCGCTGATAGATGTGGTCAGAGGTCAAAACTCTGAAAAGCTTCTCCATGAACATCAGGGTAATTTAGTCTTCCTGAATCTCTGTGGATCATTTGAAACCTGTGAGGGACATACATACCATCAAGCCTCCCAGAATTAAAGAACGGTAAGTGCCGTAACTCATAAGAAACACACTAACAGCTCCTAGTTGAAACTGGTCTCAGAAGTTGTGGGTTAGTACATACAGGAAAGTACTTGACAAGTCAAATAAAGCTCTGTGACGTGATTGTTTTTCTTCAGCTGCTTTCAAAATTGTGAAAAGCTGGCTTGGCCCCGAAGCAGTAAGTTTGTTGAAGTTTGCAAGTAAAAATGAAATCCAGGAGTATGTCAGTGTGGAATACCTGCCTCCTCACATGGGTGGGACAGTAAGTACAGTCCTTGAAACTTGTAGAATAATGCTGAATAATAGCACTCTACACTATGTACTCAAAAGGAAAAAGCCGTATCTTTTAAAAATGTTTTATTTATTCTTCTCTCATATAATACATTCTATCAATAGCTTCCCCTCCCTCTACTCTTTCCAGTTCCCCTACAAACTCTCATCTCCCCCAGATCCACTCCTCCTCCATATCCCCCCAGAAAAGAGCAGGCCTACCAGGGACATCACCCAAACATGGCACAAGATACAATAAGACTAAGCACAAACCCTCATATCAAGGCAACCCAGTAGGAGGAAAAGGGTCCCAAGAGCAGATAAGAGTCAAAGACACCCCTGTTCCCACTGTTAGGAGCCCCACAGAAACACCAAGCTAACAAATATAACATATTCAGAGGACCTGGTGCAGACCCATGCAGGCCCTGTGCTTGGTGCTTCAGTCTCTGTGTGCTCATATGAGCCTTGCTTAGTTGATTCTGTGGGCTGTGCTCTCCTGGTGTTCTCAACACCTCTGGCTCCTACAATTCTTCCTCCCCTCTTATACAGGGTTCCCCCAAGTTCCTCCTAATGTTTGAGTATGGGTCTCTGTATCTGTTCCCATTGGCTGCCAGAGGAAGCCTCTCTGGTGATAATTGAGCTAGGCACTAGTTTATGAGTATATCAGAATATCATTAGGAATCATTTCATTGACTTTTTTCCATTTGTGTTTGAGTCTACCCTAGGTCTCTGAGCTATCCAGCCTTCAGTTCCTGGTCATCCAGGCAGTATTGGGCATGGGCTCCCTCTCATAGCGTGGACCTCAAATTAGACATGCCATTGGTTGACCATTCCCACAAGTTCTACACCATCATTGCCCCAGCACATCTTGCAGGCAGGGCAGGCTATAGGTCGCAGATTTTGTGGCTGGGTTAATGTTGTGGTCCCACCACTGGAAGCCTTGCCTTGTTACAAAGGATGGTCAGTTTAGGCTCCATAGCGTCTATTACTAGGAGTCCTCGATAGGATCACCCTCATAGATTCCAGGGGATTTCCACTGCACTGGTTGCCATTGGCCCCCAGGTGCCCTCCAGTTCCGGTTGTTTCTCCCATACTCTCTTCCTCCACCCCCCCCCCCACCTGATCCCTCCTGTTCCCATCCCCATCTGCCCCCAGTCCACCTGCAAAATCTGTTCTATTTCCCCTTCCCAGGGAGATCCATGCCATATCATAATGCCCAAGGAAGGATCACTGATACCCCCAGAAAAGGATGCAGTGGTGTAGATACTTTTCACTTATGCTTCAAAGTTCACTAATTTTTTGAATAGCTAATATATGTATATGATTCTAAACTAAAGTGCTGCATTTAGGATTCAGAAGTATATTCAGAAACAGGTCTTCATAAAATGTCTTCTACTCTTGTCTCAACCACCCTATTGCCTTCCATGATTGCATTTCTTATCTTAATTTCCAGGGATGTGTATTGCGCATGTAGGCAAGTGTACATAAGCCTTCCTCCTACTCATTTTTTTTAGTAGATAGTGTATTTGTACAGTATTATACATCTCAGTTTTTCCTTCACAACACAGCATAGAGATCATTCCAAATCTGTGGCAAGATTTCACCTATGTCTGCAGCTATGTATGCTAACATGAGCCATAAGTTACTGAATTTTGTGTGCCCCCCCCAGCCACCCCCGTCTTTCCTATTCAGTAGTCTATTTAATTTGAAATGCATCCTTTAAAATGTGCTGCCAAAGTTTGGAAGGGGTGTTTGCTTTTGATTGATTTCTTCTCCTTTGTCTTGGGTGCTAAGGATCAAACCAGTGGCCAAATTCATGCTAGGCAAATTCTCTTGCGCAGCCCTCGGAATTTTTTTTAACTGATTTATATTACTTATTAATGGAGATCAGAAACAAGTGGGTGTGTTTGAAATGTTTAATGTTGTGGCCAGATGTGGTACTGCACACCTGTAATCTCAGTATCCAAAAGGTAAAATTAGGAGGATTGCAAAGTTCTGGGCCAGCCTGGACTACATGGTGACTCCCCACATCAAACAATTTTGTTAGTATTTACAAAGCTGTTAAAAAGAATATGAAAGCGACTTTTCCTAAAGTTCGAAACCTATGTAAATAATTATAGGTATATTTTGTCTGCCTGGCCAAATTGTATTTGAAGAGAACCAAAGAATAGCAGGATTAAGTTTTCAGCGGCCTTCTGTTTGTTTTCATTAATCAGAAGAGACTTGAACCAAAAAAATTAATTTTAAGTCTGTACCTTTCTTATTCTTAAACTTTATAGTTTGTATTTTAACCTAGAAAAACTGAATATTTTGCATTTCTGATCCTATTCTTACAATTAAAGTAAAACCATTGTTGCAATTTTCCCCTTTTTTTGAGGTAGGGTCTCTTGTAGACTTTACAGTACTCATATTATAGGCATAGAACTATTACATATAACTATCATGCCCACTTCTTTGTAAGCTTTGTTCACTTGTGTTTTGTTTTTTTAAAGATATTCTCTCTCTCTCTCTCTCTCTCTCTCTCTCTCTCTCTCTCTCTCTCTCTCTCTCTCTGTGTGTGTGTGTGTGTGAATACATGAATGTGTAAATACCCGTGGAAGGAGGCCAAAAGGAGCTAAAAAATACCTTGGAGCTGGAGTCCCAAGTGCAGTGCTCTGAGCTACCTGATGTGGGTGCTGGGATCTGAACTCTAGTCTCCGATAGAGCAGGAAGCACTCTTCATCATTGAACCACCTCTCCAGCCCTTGTGTTTCTTCCTGCTTGCTTCTGTGTGGTGTATAAGTATGTGTGCATGTGTGTGCATGCCTGCACATGTGGAGGCCAGGGGTCAACATTAGATGTCTTCCTCTATTGCTCTAGACCTTATTTTTTTGAGACAGGGTCTCTCAATGCATCTGGAACTTACCGATTACCTAGACTGAACCCTTAAGGTCCTGCTGTCTGTGCCTCCCGGTACTGGAATTACAGGCTTTTCACATGGGGTCTAAATTCAAGTCCTCATGCTAGCTCAGCAATCACTTTACCCACTGAGCCATCTTTAGCCCTCTTGATGTTTTGGTTTGGTTTTATGGGCTTTTTTATATTTTTTAGTTGATTGAGGTTTGTTTTACTTGTAATGCTAGGCATTGAACCCAAGTTCTCAGACATGCTAGAGAAGTGCTTTACCATTGAGCCATATCAGGAGCCAGTTGTCAGTGTTATTGCACCACCTATGTTCTGTGTTGTGTGCAGAGAGTCTGCTCTACTGAGGTTTTTGCTGATCTCTTTTATTCCTCTTCTGTTTTAATGCATACCTTTTTGATTTAAAAACCACACAAAGATACACACACCGCATTTAATGCTTTTGGCCATCTGAACTTCTTGCTGTGAAGTAAGCTAAAGATGTAACTTGAGCCAGGCGGTGGTGGCACACGCCTTTAATCCCAGCACTCGGGAGGCAGAGGCAGGCGGATCACTGTGAGTTGGAGGCCAGCCTTGTCTACAGAGTGAGTTCCAGGAAAGGCGCAAAGCTACACAGAGAAACCCTGCCTCGAAAAACAAAACAAAACAAAAAAGATGTAACTTGATTTTTTTCTTTGAAATGAATCCCATCTTTTCCTTATTTCACTAATTAAGCATATTTTCTTGGCCCACGTAATCAATTTTTAACATAGCATGAGAAAAATATTTCTCTCCACATTACTAGCAGGCTGATAAGGCAAGTTCTCTTCTTTAGGATCCTTTCAAGTATAGCTACCCACCACTGGTAGATGATGACTTCCAGACACCACTGTGTGAAAATGGGCCGATTGCCAGTGAGGATGAAACCTCAAGTAAAGAGGATATAGAAGGTGATGGTAAAGAAACCTTGGAGACAGTGTCTAACGAAGAACAACCAGTTCCCTCAGAAAAGGTAATTTGAGGAATAAAGTTGAACGGAATCAAAAGCTGCCGTCTAACTCTTGGGCCGTAGCTCGGTGGTGGAGCACTTGTCCAGCATGCATGCCGCCCTAAGTTCAGTCCCTAGCACGTGGGGGAAAGCACTGTCACGCTTCCCCAGCTCGGCCTGCATCCTGGAGATAATCCAGTTCCCATGCTTCCGAGTCTTGAGAAAATGAAGGAGTGGGGATGAGGTCAATTGAATTGCAGCATACTTTTTTTTTCCCTGAATAAAAAGAGCTGAGTCCATACTCTGTGCAAAACTTGGCAAAGTCCATCTGGAAGGAATTTTTTTTTGTCAAAAATATATTTATTTATCTAAGATAAAAATAAGTGATTAATGTAAAACTTCACCTGGATGAAGTTCCTTTTTATCTTGTTTTGAAGAACTTGTTAATTGTCAGTCTTTACAAAACTTAGCAATGGCTTGCTTGATAAGTAGATTATAATTTAGAATAAATATCTTCAAGAATGTCATGTTTATAAGAGAATCATATAATATTTTTTTCATGGTCATGTCAGTATATGTTAAACATGTCATTCAGACATGCTAAACATGTTAACACCTATAATTTGCATTGAATTTGATATTTACTTGTTCTCCCAGTGACTTGTCCAACTTGATCTAAAACTGCTTCCTCTTGTCTCCATTGTTTCTGTGTTTTTTAATCTATAGATCAGCCCAACTGAGTCTGCTTCCAAAGCAGATGAAACCGAAAAAGTTGATTCAAAGACTAAAACTTTTAAAAAGCCATTGAGTGTTTTCAAAGGGCCCTTATTGCACATCAGGTAACAAAGATCCTTTTCACTGCATTGCTGTAACATATCTTGATCATCTTGGGGATAGGGAGGACTGCAAGATTAAGAAAACTTCTACCTCTTGTTTAAACTGTTGAGAGTAGACAGTACAATTTGTTAGGAGTACAGTCTGCCTTCTTTTCCTGGCTTAGTGACCATTTCTAACTACCCTTTTTATTATTTCTTCCACTGAGTCTACCCCAAATGATACAGTTTGGTTAATGTTAAGCTACACAATTTTTTGGGAGAATTGAATCTTTTCATTTTAAGTAATAGATATTACAATACCCAATAATAGCAAACTTGGAAGCTTGAGACTTACTAGTTTTACTAGTTTAACTGCCCTCTGGTTGCTACTCCAAATTTCTTTCTGTGTCTGTCTTTTCTCCTCCGTTACTCAGAAAAGCCATTGTGTAGTAAGAAATTATTCTGTTACTTAAATATATCCCTAATAATCTTTCTGTGAGATTATGTTCTTCTCTATTGGTGTAAAAAAGGTGCTCAAGTCGAATCTGTTTGTAATTAGGGAGAGCTGGAGCGGTAATACCATCTGTGTTCTTTTTATTATAATCCATAACCTCCCAAAGAGCTTACACAGATCCACCTTAGATTGTGTTGATTACAGGATTAATTCAGCATCTTCATAATTCTCTCTTCTGTTCCTTCCTGTTTTCCTTCTGACCTTAGGGAAAACCATAGTGCTTCCTAGCATGCGCAGCATCAGAAGTTTAAAGTACAAAATTCTAATAGGTAACTGTTTTTGTAGTCATCTTTTATAAGGAAGTCTCTTCGTACAAATGAGCGTGAACTATAGGCTAAACATTTTTTCAGACTAATGATTAGAATGCTGTTTAGTCTGAGTGTTATAAATGCCTTATTTGTTTATCCACCTAGCCCAGCCGAAGAATTATATTTCGGAAGCATGGAGTCTGGAGAGAAGAAAACTCTAATAGTGTTGACAAATGTCACGAAAAATATAGTGGCCTTTAAGGTAACAAACAAAACAAAAACTTAAAGCCATACTAAGTTATGAAAGTGATTGGAGGCCTATACTGATGGAAAGAGTAGTCCTCAAGCAATGGACAGCTGTGTATATCATAGTCAGCTTGTGCCCTCTTCTTTTTTCTAGTACTTTGAGCCCTTTTGTATTCCCTTCTAGTAGGGCTGATAGTGACGATAGTCTCCTACACTTCATATTTGCTGCCACATTAGGATCCAATAGAAACGACACTCCAGGTTGTACCAAATGTGAGGGGAAAGGTACTTCGATTTGATTGTTTTAGCCTGATTCACTGTTGTAAGTTAGATGTTTCATATATGTGCACATATCTGCTCACATACAACAAAAGGAAAGCTAGGGCCAGGTGTGGTGGTGCATGTCTTTAATCCCAGCTCATGAGAGGCAGAGGCAGGTGGATCTCTATGAGTTTGAGGCCAGCCTGGTCTACATAGCCAGCTTCAGGCCAGCAATGGCTACAAAGTAACACCCTATCTCACAAAAAGGGGGCGCGGGGAGAGGGGGAGGAGGAAGGCCAAGTGTCAGTAGAACTTAAAAAGTCAGTTTTTAAATAACTCAGGATGTTTTTATCTTATTGGTGAACAAAGAGGATTCTACACATAACAACCAAGGTGGTTGCATAGACTTCATTCATTGTTTATTAGCTGCACTTTTGTAAGGTCATTCTTAAGCCATGCCTCCCAACCAGCATGAGGTCATGTGGTAACTGTTTCTAACCAGGTGAGAACCACTGCTCCAGAGAAGTACAGAGTTAAGCCAAGCAACAGCAGCTGTGATCCTGGAGCCTCAATTGATATAATTGTTTCTCCACATGGAGGTGAGTTGTCTTTCCTTATTTTTTTTCTTAATGTATTCTTAAATAATGCCTCATGTTCAGAAGTAGTTGACCCATATATGATGGACTACACCAGATTTTTGGCTTGCTTTTATTTGGTTACAGTTTGGTGGGTTTTTTGTTTGTTTTAGGTGGTGTTTTCTTGGTTTGGGGGGTTATTGTTGTATTGTATTGGGGTTTCCTTTTTTTTGAGAAAGAACTTATAGTTGGCTGGGTATGGAGGTAGGGAGAATCAGGAAGGACTTATAGGGGAGGGGAAGAATATGATCAAAATATATTTAAATTTAAAAACTGTTTTAAATAATATTTTTTAAAATCGTAACAATGCATTAAGCCATATATCTAGCCCCATGACAGTTGGTGTTCATATGTTACCTTATTCTCTTGGAATACAGGCTTAAGAGTCTCTGCCCAAGACCGGTTTCTGATAATGGCTGCAGAAATGGAGCAATCATCTGGCACTGGGCCAGCAGAATTGACCCAGTTCTGGAAAGAAGTTCCAAGAAGCAAAGTGATGGAACATAGGTAAGCGCTTTGACTCACAGCCTCTCAAATAAGATGGAAGACTAAGAATCAGAAATTCCTGCATGGCGGGGATGGCCCTGTCCTTTCTTGGGGTGCCTGGATTGAAATGGGGGAGCTGCTCACAGACTGACCAGTTGACAGGTGTACATCTCTGACGCTCAAGTCCACCTTCTGGGAATGCTTACTTGCTTCATAGACTGTGGCAGTGTGAAGTCGAAGGGTAAGGCAGGAGGTATAGGGCCACTGGTGGACCCTAGTTGAGATCCATTGGCGCATGCCCATGTTGGAGGACTCTGGAGCTACTCAGAGAATTCAGCCACTCTGTTCCCACATGAAGAAACCCAGTAGATAACAATTAGAAAAGCTGCTCAAAGAAACATGGAAACAGTATCCTATTTAAACAGGAGTGCACAGTTGGATACTTGTGTGCGCCTTTGTATGTCATCTGTGACAAATGTCTTTAAATATATACTGGAAAGTAAAGGAAACAAGAGGAGACTGCTTTCTGCCTTGTTTTGCTTTACTCCCTTTTAAAGTGGGATTACAATTTATTGAAGTGGCATCAGTTTGGCGCCCCCGTCTTCGCCCCACCCAAGAATATTTGCCAACATCCAGAGACATCTTTATTTTTCACAACTCAGGGGTGGGGTACAGTGGCATCTGGCAAATGCTCCTAAGCTTCCTACAGTCCAAATCATGAGCCCCCCCAAACCAGTAGCGCTGAGGTAGGAAAGCCTGGTTTATAGAGTGGTTAAGGATGGTCTCTCTGCTGGCACATTGACTAGGACCTGAACGAAATGAAAGAGGAAGGAAGTCACACTGTGACTGATTGTAACTGCACAGAGAGCTTTTGTGGTGGCAGGCGAAACAAGTTTCAAGAAAAAGCCACGTGCTTGGGCTTACAGGAAAAACCGGGGTGGGGGGGGGTGGCCAGGAGACAGCCAGCAGAGCACTAGATCATTGCTTCTGAGGAGTGTTGAATTTGGCCCAACCTGGAGGAGTATTGTGTGGTCAAAGGGCAGCTCTGGTCAGGTCAGTAAAGTCCAGGGAAGAAAGTGTGTCAACAGAGAAGAGACCAGTGGTCCCAAGTACTGCCATGCAGATAAAGAAAGACAAGGTACTGGCACTGCTCACTGATGGGCACATTGCTGAAAGTACTGCTGACTGGAAAGAGCACTTGCAGGATGCAGGAACCGCATCAGGCAGAGCCCATGCCAAAGAGATGGATGCGGACAACCGGGCTAGACTAGAGGTGTGGCAGACTGGAGAGCGACTAGGAAGCTGATGAAGGGTCTTGGTTTTGTTTTTGTTTTCAGTAGTGGTTTGTTTCTTGGGTATTGGGGGTACTTATTGGCTTGGGGGGTTGTTTGTTCGTTGACACAGAGTGTCATTGTCTAGCCAAGCATTAGCCTCAAACCTGTAACAGTTCTCCTGGCCCAGCCTTTGAAGTACTGGCATTGGAAGTGCTCTCCACTATGTCCAGCCTATCTTGAGGTTTTTAACATGAGAAACTTGAGCACTGTTTAAATAAACAGCCTGGGGGAGACAGCTCAGGACTGCAGTGCTTGCCCCTCATGTGCAAGGTCCTAGGTTCCATCCCCCTACACACACACACCCCAAAAATGAGGAACATGGCAATAGGGACCTATAATCCAACACACAGTGCTTGCAGGTTGCAGCAGGAAGATCAAAAGTTTGAGGCTAGCATGGACTACATAGGAAGACCATGTTTCAAAGAAGAAAATAAAGCTAACAAAAAACACTGGAGAAGTTGATGCAGGTCCGACTGAGTAGAGGTACCACCTGTTTTTCACGAAATAATAACAATACTTAGATTTTCAAATCATAGCCTAGGAACAAAACCTATATTCTGTCAAGCTTTGTTTGTTTTGGTTTACTGTGGTTTGCTCTGTTCGTGAAATGGGGCTTTGCTATGCACTCCAGGGGTGACCTGGGCCTCAAGATCTTTCTGCTTTTAGTTAAAAGCATGGGAAATTTCTGCAAGGTTAAGAGTGAGTGACACAAAAAGAGTTGGAGATTAACTCAAAGTGCTTATGAAACATTCAAAATGAGGGGGTTCGTTAAATGTAAGTTGCTTTACTTTCTTTGCTTTGGGGTTTTACCAGTTGCTAATGGCTGCCTTCTCCAGAGCTCTCACCTGGAAGGTAGGAGGGATCCCGGTGGCTTGAGACTAAAAGCTCTAATAAAGCACCATCCTCCGTTCTAGAAATTGAAAGCTAATCTGGGTAAATTCTACTGAACAACATACAAAGAAGCCTTCTATTGAATTTCCTGGGGCAGTGGGCAGTACGCACAGCCTCTTGTTCTTTGTACACACACATTAGGTAGCTAAAAGGGGACTGGGGGTTAAGCTCAGTGGTTTAGAAGCAGGCACAAAGCCTAAGCTTTCATTTTCACTGGAGAATAAAAGACCCCAGAAGATAATAGATAAATATAGACTGATCTACCTTCTGAATTGTGCCTAAGGAGAGGAATGAAACCTTTCGCCTCCAGTACACAACCACTTGCATTTAACTCCGCACTCCCTATTTTACTTTCAGAAAAAAATATTTACTAAAGCTTTGAAGAAGTTACATTTCCTTTGAATTTCCTAGGTTAAGGTGCCATACTGTTGAGAGCAGCAAACCAAACACTCTCATGCTGAAAGACGGTGCTTCTAACATGTCAGATAAAACCAGTGAAGATCTCTATCTACAGGTAAGTGTGCTGTCTGCCTGACTAAGCAATCGCCAGTGGTAATCGGCACCAGAAGGCCATCTGTGTTCCACTAATTAAGGGAACTTTTTAATAGAGACAATGAAAGTTGGTTTTTGCTCTCTTTCTTCCTTTTTTTTTTGGTTTTGGTTTTGTTTCTTTTGCAGGGTTTAGGGTTTGTTTGTTTGTTTGTTGGGGGTCTCTGTTTCTTTGCTTTTGGAGACAAAGACTCATCTTGAACCCAGGCTGGCCTGGAACTCCTTGTAATCCTCTTGCCTCAGCCTTCCAAGTTCTAGAGTTACTTACAGGTGTGGGCCACCATGCCTGGCTTGGAAGTGCCCTCTTCTGTGTGAAAAGGCCAGTTAGAAATGGTACATGGCAGGTTGCTTTCAGAAGGCCACAAGCATTTAAAGACTCGGACAATTTTACTATGGAATTAGGGCCAAATAGTAAAGCACATAGTGCTTTGGTGAGTACAAAAGACTTCCACCTTATATGAAAAGGGCTCCAACTAGTACATTTCAATTGGAAAGAAACAAAAGGGCTTCATGCATCTACCTCAGTGGTGGAGTTTTTATTTATCATGGAAGTGCCCTAGGTGCGATGCCCAAAAGGAAAGAGAAACCAAAGAGATCTAGATAGCCCAAAGGTGTCTGTACCTCCAGGAAGTGATAACTCTATCTTGTTTCAACTAGAAAATTGGACCTTTCAGAGTAGAGCATGAAGGACATATGTGTCTACCAAACTTTACATCAGATGCCTCCTTGCATTTTTAGCCCCCAGCCTTTCAGAGTAGATGGGTCCCATCCCTTTAGTGTTTGGAGTTCTGATATTCCAGTTTGGCATGATTTATGATTGTTTCATTGATATCAACTTTCATCCCTTTTTTTCTTCCCATTCAGCTCAATCGTTTACTAGAAAGCAATAGGAAACTTGAAGACCAACTCCAGCGCTCTATCTGGTTCCAACAGCTGCTGCTTGCCTTAACAATGGTCTTGCTTGCTTTTGTTGTGTCTTTCTTTTATTCATTATACAGTTAAAGAAGTGGTGCCTGGTCAGAAACCTAAGTCCTTCAGACATTATCTGGAGAAGGTATACAGACCCCACTCAAACTTCTCCACCCCCTTCTAGAACTACTGTACATCTGGGCTTCCTAAAAGGAAATATGTAGCATATAGGAGGGTACCTAGCTTGAAAATCAGTTGTTTGAATAGAGAAATGTCCAAGGCATTGATTATTAGAGACTATAGCTAGTTAGGAAACTAAGTAAAGGCATATGCATTATGTAAATTAATAGCTTAGACGTAATTTATTTTTTTTCTTTTTGATTTGAATGCTTTCAAAGCAAAGTTGTATCATGTAAATACATGAGCTGAGCTGAAAAGTCTAAGTAACATGCATTGTTGTAGCCAAAAGATGTAATCTGCTTTTTTAAAAAATATAGAATTACTAGCTGAGCTGACGTAATCGCTTTTCTATACTATGTATGTAAAATATGTATATTGAAGAGTAAACATACTTAAACAGAGTAATTTATGTAATCATGACTTTGTAACTTGAGAACTCCTTCCAGATGATAGTCAAGATTCTTTTTGGAATGTAAAGCTATTTAATGGCAAACCACCTTAGCCTTTGTTTCTCAGCATTGCTGAGCAGCCTGCCTCTTACTAATCTGGGCTCTTTAGTGAACACTCTGGTTTTGACACAATATGGAAAGCTCCATGTGGTTGAATTTTTGTTGATTTCTGGTAACAGTGCCCAGAAAGAAAGTCTCCAAAACAGCCCCCCTTTCTAGTCAATTCTATGCAGTTTCATGCCGTTCACTCTGTTTGGACACTGAACCTTTTTGCCTGGTTTAGTGTAAGGGCCTACTCTTCCATTGTTCCATCTTCTTCTTCATTCCAGGGCAAAGGAGTCTCCTCTGTGGACCACAGATTATGCCCTGTGCACCCTCATTTTTAAATGAAAGGCTTTAGGTAATGTTGTTGAGAGTCTAGTTGTTTTAGCTGATTGTTAGTATAGCCAACCTTGCGTTCAAAATGGTCCTTGTTAAAATTGTTGGTGAGAAGGAAAACTTGAAAAGACTGGAGTATCCATGTGTGCAAATATAAAAGCAAAACAAAGAGGCTGAGAGGATGGGAACCACTACTTCCAATGGGCTCTCTGGACCACTTGTTACTCTGCCTTTGGTATATTCACACGGCTCCTAAATTCCTCCAGGGATACACCTTGCAGAAGCAGAAGCTAATGAAATTAGTTTGTGTTATCATCAACATGACCAGTTTCAGTCACTTTAGGTTCAAATGTATATCTACTTTTGATTAAAGAAAAGTGGTCTGCCTAGCAAATGAATTTGCAGCCATGTTTGGAGATTTATTGTTCTCAGGAGTAGAGTTGGGGGCTTTCAGCTTGAAGAAGTTGACTCCAAAACCGAGTTTTGAGGAGTGATGTAACAGAGCTCCTTCAAAAGTCGGCTGAGGAAATAAAACCTTAAAAGGACACTAGTGTAATCCTTTGTCTTAATTTGGGTTTTTCTGTTTCAGTTTGCCACCTCCAGATGTGAAACAGACTGCAGTCCACACTAAGTACTGTGCACAGTATCTATGTCCCTGTGTGTTCACAGTGACTTCCCAAGTGGTAGATTTGGGGCCTTAATGTAATCTCATCCCAGAGTATTTGTCTGTGCTTTTCATTCCTCATCAGATAAATGAAGAATCAATTAGCCAAGATGAGGAATAAAATTGTCCTAACAGTGTCCCTTTAATGTTTCATAAGAAAATGGTGTTGGCACACTAAATACCCTTCCTTGCTTAATGTCTGGTCAGTTGAATTTAGTAACATACCTTGTTAGCATTCATTGTAATACATTTCATTGTAATACATGAATGTAACACATACATCGTTACATCACTCCTCAAAACTGTGGTGAATGTGACTAAACAGAACTGCAGAAAATTAACCATAATGTCAAAGGCGTCTAAACTTTTCTACTAATCTTGATTAATCTATATATTTGCATTATATTTCGTTCTGTCTTCATTTAATTTAATCACATTTGCATGATTATTTTTGGTATTCTAATCAGGAATTTTATCTCTAATCATGTCATTGCCTTTTCATGATCAAATTGCCAGGGATTTTCATTTTGATTTTTGTTTTCACATGGGAATGGAAATTAATACATTTTCCATGAAAACATTAATAAAAAATCATTAGCTTGATCTGCAAGTAGCCTAAAATGCAATTACTGGTAAACCTAGTCTCAAATTTCATAAAACCATAACTTTTTATATCTTGCCACTAATTTTGACTGGATTTAATAGCACTTTATTGTATAATTATAAAAAATATATTCCTAGAATTGTTGTTGCCAGTGTCATTTCTCTAATGTTCTGGTGCTTTTCATATATTTTCAGTATTTTTATTACTATATTGGTATTTTCTTTGTATAAATTGATCAAAAGAACATGTTTTCTATTTTAATATGTTTTAGAAAATAATTACATTTATGAAATAAATATCATCAGGAAAAAACTCTTGTCTCTAAGTGATAAATCATTGTTTAAAAAAACCCCCCAATGTTCAGACCATTTTTTCCCTTCTAAAGATCATCGTCATTCCATTTGGGTCGCCTTTGCATTTTGTAAGGACACTACCTTGGGCTTCCAAAAATGAATTCCATGTCAAGAGACCCTATCCTTGAGTGCATCCAGTTTCTCCCCGTCCCTGTGCCTAGTTTAGGCTGCACACCAGTGCGGTTTGGGACATTAAACTCACAGCTTTAGCTTGAAACTCTGGGGCCACAGAAGTCTAGATTGCCTCATGTCTCCCCTACTTGAGTCCTTGCACAGAGGTACTTGATGGGTGACTGGGTGATGGAAGGGCACAAAGACAGCCCAAGCTGGTGATAGAAGAGACCTTTGAAGCTGATACCATTGTCCCCTCACTAATAGAAGACATAACTTTCCCAAAAAGCAGCCCCTCATGGAAATCAAATAAATAACTGGTCCTCCTAATTTGAAAAGCAGCGATATAAGATCAGGGAGGAGAAGGGCCCAACACATGTGATAAAAGAAAAAGTGACTCACAGTGACAGAACATCAGCCCGCAGAGTGAAGTACCAACCTGGACTGGGTGAGCTCTCCTAAAGGAAGCTTTTCTGGGCAGCAAGTTTCTCAGGAAATCTTCGCTTAGGGAAGGGTTGATGCCAAAAAGCTGCTCTTTCTCCCTGCACTTTTCACCACCCACTGGAGGGTTCTTGACATCACTAGTACCATGGGCCCTCCCAAACACACAGGCCGTTTCCTCCCTCCAGAGTCCAAAGGAACGGATTTGAATTCTTCCCATGTGTCCTAGTCACCTCCCTACTCTTCATATCTAGGGAAAGGTAGCCCATGTGTCTCTTCTCCCTGTTGGGTGATTATATCTTGTACATGATAGGTGTGAGAGTGAGGAAATAACACATTTAACCTGTCCACTGAGGCTGGCCTCCCTCTGCCTTCCTAGAACTGTTCATGGGTGAATATCCTGAACATTACACCTCACTGAGAGCCAAATGTCAGTTCTTCAAACTTCCATGCTTGGTAGTATTCCCACCCCTGCCCTGGCACCCCAATAAAATCACCACATCAGATCCTTTCCATTTGCCTACTGATGGTTTCTTTCCTTTGAAAAAAAAACAGTTTTGGCTTTTAATGTCCAAAATCTCATACCTTCCCCACCCCACTTATGTGTCCTAAACTTTTGTGCATGTTAAAACATTTGAAGATAACTGGGAACTTAGTTCACTCTGAACAATTGGGAGCCTTTTAAACACAAGGACCTGAGTTTGATCCCCAAATGACACAAAAAGAAAGAAAGAGAGAGAGAGAGAGAGAGAGAGAGAGAGAGAGAGAGAGAGAGAAAGAAAGATGATAGATGCATAGATACATAGATAGATAGATAGATAGATAGATAGATAGATAGATAGATAGATAGATAGATAGACAGATAGATAGATGGCCAGACATATTGCCATACACTTGTAATTCAAGCACTAGGAAAGCAGAGAGGAGAATATAAACACTCACTGACCAGCCAGTCTATCTACTCAGCAAGCTTCACATTTAGTAAGAGAGACCCTGTCTCAAAAAAATAAGTGGTGGCTAGTGACTTAAGAAAGACACCTAAGATTGTCCTGTGGATCCCATATGTTTGCTTTAATTGACCAGCCCCTTGTCTGTAAAAAGTATATGCACACTCAAGAGCAAGTTTGGTCCTTGGAAGACAAGTTGTTCATGTTCCTTTCTCCTAACAGCCTGCCTCAGTTTATCCTAAAATCTTGGTTTTTATGGGCAAGGAGGATGAGGATCCTAGAAGTCATTCTTTTCCCCAAGATTACATGAGGGTGCAACTTTGGAGGCAAGTTGAGCCACCTTCCCACTTGTAGTGCTGGTTAAAACCACCTAGAACTAGCTCTACTGTGGTGCCCACGCCTGGCACAGTGGTCATCTCTGGAGTGCTTCAGCAGATGAGGAGCAGGGACGGCTCTCCCACTCTTCTGACCTCAGGGCCAGCTCTCCCACATGCCTCAGATGTTGATTGTTGGAGGTGAGGGGGTGGGGAGCACCTCTCTCCCACTCATGCTTCCACATGACAGGTGAGTCCACCCCATCTGGGATCTGCTGGAGCATGTGAAGGGACTGGTCCTACAGACCCAAAGCTCCAGGATCTCCACTACATAGGGCAACATCAGGATAGCCAAAAGGAGTCCCAGTGAGGGCCCAGCATTGACAGTGTAGCAGAAACCAGAGGCCTCGAACTAGACCAATGACTCTTTGCAATGAACACCTGCAAGTGAAGACATATGGACAAAGGGGTTTCCAGCATGACTCACTGTGTCACACTGCAGCTTCCATGATGAGATTTTTTTCCTTCTTCTCTTAAATTTTATTGGGGGGCAGGGAGTGGGCTGCAAGGGCAGAGGGCATATACGAAGGGACAGAAAATGAATGGGATCGAGATGCAAGATATGAAAGACACAAAGAGTAAATAAAACCAAAGTTTAAAAAAAACCCAAAGCAGCTACATCTGAGAAACTGGTTTAAATGTAGGATAGGCAGATCCAACATTGCTTTACCTTCACTAAACCATATGAAAATAAAAAGAGAATGAACATAAAAGGTTCCAAGAAAAACAGGTGATAGAAAAGCTGAAAAACTGGTTTCTTGGAACTGGAGAGGTGGTTCAGCAGTTCACTTATTGCTAAATAAGTAAGAGGAGCAGAGTTTGGATCCTAGCACCCAGCTTAAAAAGCAGGATGTGGTATTACCTGTAACTGCAGAGCTGGAAGAGACACGGGGGCTGGGGGGGGCGGGGGGGGGGGGGAGGATTGCTGGGGCTTGCTGGCCATCAGCCTAGTCCATGTTCACTGAGTTAGCCCTATTTCAAAGGAATAAGGCAGGGAGTATAAAAGAGCAGGGCACCCAACACCCCCTGTCCTTATTGTTCACATGTGTGCATGCAGGCGTACACACACACACACACACACACACACACTGTAGGGAAAAGGAACGGGCTAAAGAAACCCACCCTGACTCTGGAGCCCAGAACCATGGAAAGAAACACAGCCTGGATCTGGGACCTGAGCCAGAGGAAGAAACAGTTTATCCCCAAACCCAGAACCTGAGAAACATGCCCTCATTCTGAAACCAGTGCCAAAGAAACATTCTTTGTCCCTAGAATCAGAGCCATTGAGAGAAATATGCCCTGGCCTTAGAAATAGAGTCAAAAAGGTAAGGAAGGCCAGTGAAAGAAACACAGTTTGGCTCTGAGATCAGAGCCATCTCTGCCCCTGGCCAACTGACCAGTGAAACCAACCAATCACAGAAAAAGGAAAGTAAGCACACTGACCTGGAGCTGAGAACCAGTGAAAGAAACAGCCTGGATCTAAGACCTGAGCCAGAGAAAAGAATACTTTATTGCCAAACCCAGAACCAAAGAAACATGCCGTGATACTGAAACCAGTACAAAGGAAACACTCTTTGTCCCTAGAATCAGAGCCAGTGGAAGAAATATGCCTTAGAATTAGATTCAAAAAGCTAAGAAAGGCCAGTGAAAGAAACACAGTTTGGCTCTGAAATCAGGGCCATCTCTGTTCCTAACCCACAAAATTAACCAATCCCTGAGCAGAAAAAAAAAAAAAAAACTAACCAATCCCTGGTTAACTATGCCCCCAAAAGATCTATATAAACCGCCCTGCCTGGTCAGTTGTGGGCTGTTCTCGCCACCCTGGTAGAGGCAGCCACTCTTCCCGGACTCCTCCTTCCCCAAAAAATCTTTCTCAAAGAGTCTTAAGTGTGAAGCTCTTCATTCATCGGTGCAGAGAAGGAGAGTGCTATGACATCCCATAGCGGACTGAGCAGAAAAACCTTTGCAGAGTTGTTCCCTTGGGGAGGGGGCTGAGCAAGAGGAGCTGAACAGAAGAACCTTGCTGAGACATCCCTTAGGGGGCTGAGCAAGGGGGAGTAAACTAGTAACAACTTTTGAGCTGGAGCAGGAGATTGCTACATTTCTGCAAGGTTTTCCCCTTTAACAGAGTGAAGCAAAAGAGGCAACATCTTGGGCAGGAGAAGGAGCAGAGTTCGGCTAGGAAGCCCACTTAAGTGGGGACTGAGCAAAGCTTAGCTGTAGTGGCTCTCCAGGAGAGGAGTAGGATTGCTATAACCTGCAGGGAGACCATCCCCCATCGCACCAGGTATAGCCTGACTCCCGAACAGTCAGGTTACCTTTCCCTCCAGAGCTGAGCTGTCCCCTTGCAGCTCCAGCTGCCAGAGCTGTCCAAGCAGCTCAAGGTGTCGCCTAAGTCCTGAACAGTTAGGATACCTTTCCTCCAGAGTTGCAACACAGTTGCCGAAACGAAACCTGGGATAGACTCCCTTGGTGCCTGTGTTTTCCCCTTGTGGTCTGAGCCACACTGGGACTCTATCCCTTATCTCCAGTCCATCTACAACAGATCCAACTTCCAGTTCATCAATTGCTCATTCCATCCATTTCCCTGGGTCTGAGAAAGTGGCTGTTGTCAGATTTTTAGTTTTCGAAGCTACAAGGAGACTGTTCCAGAATCCCTCAGTTCTTATCTTCTTGAATTTAGTCAAGAGCCATTGATAATTTAAGCAGATATTTAGCAAAGCTAAGCAAAGCAAACACTCCCAAGAAAGATTGGAGTGGGCTGCCTCCGGGCAAAAAGAAGCCCAGTGGGTTCTGTAGTGTGAATTTTAAAGGTGTTTATATGAATATTTTTAAGTTGGTGGCATACTCATGGAGTAAGAGGATCCCTTTTTTCCCTCCTGTTATGATGGACTGAAGCTCCTTTGGTGGGTATTTCTTCTCATGATATTCTAGAAAATTCCACAAAATATGGGGGCGGTGTCAAAACAAGTGATTTTTTTTTTTTTTTGGTTTTTCGAGACAGGGTTTCTCTTGTATAGCTTTGCGCCTTTCCTGGAACTCACTCTGTAGAC